ACGTAACAATATCAATACCAACATAGTGGAGGATGAAGCGCAGATTGTATGGCTTGTGTTTCAATATGGGTCTTAAATACGTTGGCACGAACAGGGGAAACCGAATTGCTTATGCTTAAACAATATACTTGAAGGAATTTTTTATTATTGAAAATGAAGATGGTTTTAGTTGTTGCAACTTCTAAGAGAAAAGCGAAAAGTGTACTGGCAATGTGTATTAAATGATTGTGGTCATTAGGGTAGTGATCAAATGCAATATTACAGGCTTTCTTGACGGAACTTCGAGGAAAAGTGACATAATATCAAAGCTAGCCATTAAGGTTTTATGGTTAATTGTTTTGATGTGTTTCTGAAGTTAAAGTTATATTTAAGAAAGTAACCCGCAGATGTTACTTATGGTGTGAGAGCTCAGTCTACGTATCTGCTAGGATTAGAGTTAAACTAGTCATAAGTGGATAGTATAGGTCTTATTGGGCCTGACTAGCTACCTTACCTCTAGTCTTTCCCTGATAAATTAGGGACGGCTAGCGCGGATAGCTCTTGTGTAGCTTTGTGCGAAATTCAAAACAAACCAAACCTGTGAGGCAGTCCTGTTTACTAAGCTGTTAAAAGGGGAAGGGGTAAAAAATTTGTTAAATTATAATTGCTATCATAAGATAGTAAAAATACCGGTCACAATTTTTATTAAATTTTCCCACAAAAACACCTAGAGAATGACCCGCGTTTGTTCTTATTAATAAACATTTGGCATACTACTTTGAAATCAATGTTCATTACATTATTCATGCTTAATAGGGTGAGTCCAGCAAGTCGTTCTTCACCCATGCTGCTTCTTAGGAACATCTTGATTTTACGTAGGCACGTAGCCTCATAGCTGCCAACAGTGAGAGTACATCCAAGCCGGTTTATGTTCTAACATTTGGGAAAACATCATCATCTGCACGTTGAAGACAGTCTATCATATTAAGCAAGTTATGTTTGATGTGCTTTTCTTTCCAATATCTCTTCCATTCCTTTACTACTGTTTGTAGTATTGATGGCTGAGGCAAGTCCTGCTCCCAGAACATAATCCCATCCACTGCCCTGTACTTCCTGAACAAGAGCAAGAATTTCTCCACCACGTCGACTTTCTATGTTTTAAATTGATCTTTTATCTCTGTAGATAAATGGTCACAGAAAGGGATGGCAACATTTCTCAGGAAATATATCTTGACAGAAATGCTTGATGTATTTGAACGATGGATTTACCTGATACGTTTTTGTGCCCTGGGCGCCAAAATATTAATGCCAACCAATGTCTCCAGTCGCAATGCATCATCAAGCTATACACTAAGTTCCTCATTTATATCATTTCTCATTCGCTCAAGTGTTTGGTCTATCATTCTGTAAACATGATAGATGTCTAGGCCACGTCTTTAAAGTTTAGCTGAAATTTGGCTTGACACCTTCCAAAGCATTTTTGACAACAAGAAATGCAATAATATTTTGGGATGACATGAGACTCTTGAGAATTTGCTGTGCTTTTACTCTGGTTTCTTGGTTCCAAAGTCGAGGCCAAGAACCAACACTGTAAATTTCTGTATATGCAGCTGGGTCTAAGATTGATTCCAGACAATCACAGATATATTTGAATATTTCATAAAATGTTTCAGAGCACGTATGCCACTCTACCCGCCTGGTTTTAAACATCCCTACCAACCTTTTTTTTTCACATCTGGAGTCGTATATTCTAGACATCGTTCAAGACAACAGTGGCGCTGAGGTAAACTATAAAAATAAATGAACACTCTCCCCTTGCCTACATTTCCATAGATTATTAAAGGAAAAAAGGGGGGGGGGGTCCGGACCCTCTCTAAATTTGCCACTGTAGCGCATGTATATATTTCTGTGTCATTGCAAAGTACTAGTACGCGATGATGACAAAAGCTTGTTGAAACGTCCTATACTTGTAATAAAGATTCTTCCACTACCCTTTCAAGCTGTTTCCAAACTTGATTTTCTAAAAGTGAATTCCTCTTCATCAATTTAACTTCTACAGATAATATGATAACATCACAGTCCTACCGATAACACTCGTCAATCACTGTACTCACTGAAGCTACACGGCTTGAAGCTCTTTTATACGACCACACTTCTCTTTACGCTACACTACACAAGTACACAAGTGACCTTAAATAGGCCTCATTATACAAGCCGAAATGTCGTCCTCTTTTTATTCAATAGGCAATTTCAACCAATTATAGTGCTGCGTCAGCGAGGTCACGTGACTAGTGTCACGCCCCTG